TTTTTTTTTTTTTTTTTTTTTTTGATTTCACTTCGTGAATTCGAGCCGGCTGCCGCTTGTCTATCTATTTATGACAGTTAGTTGTTCGCAACGTCGTTCTTCTTGTCGGTTGTTTTCAACATCGATGTCGACAGATTAAAACAGGTATGGCGATGGTTCGCAGAACCCACAATCTGTGCATATTCTCTGTATGAAAGAAAGAAAGAAAAAAAAAAGAATATTCGATGTAAAGAGAGAGGACATTTAAAAATTTGAAATTTGAAATTTAAAATTTTTAATACAGGTTTAACGCCTCCTACGATGTAACGTGCCGAGTTTGTTTTGTCTCCGATTTTTTCGACTCGCACAAAATGGCCTAATCAAAGGAAGAGGACTGATCGAATCTGTCAAATTTACGAAGATTCATTTGGTTCTTTTCCCCGTATCTCGTTCGATCATTTGATTGTCATCATTGAGATAGTTGGAAGGAAAGAAATTTGCGATGCAAAATTTCTTAACGACACGCTATCGTCGAGTCCACAATAAAATCAAAGATGTTCGATTGTCGGATTTCAAATATAAATTCTCCAAAGTACGTTAAAAAGAAATTAATAATCTTTTAACTCTTCCTTTTAAAAATTGAAATTGGTCTTGATTCAAATTAGTTCTCGTTGATTTTTTTTCTTTTTCCTTTAGGGTATTAAACAAATCAAAGAATTGCGTCAACACATCGAATCATTGCCTTTGATGAGCAAATTCTCCGTTCTCGGCACGAAGATCACTCAATTTCCGTATCACGATTATTGGCAAAAATCATTGCCGTTCAGATACTGGACATTTGGTTTGATCGTTTGTTTGCCTGTCTTTTATCAATTTCGATCCGTGGCAAAGGCTAACGCGAAATTGAGTCGTGAGAAATTGGAAATGTTTAGACAGAATATAGAAGGACAGACGGAAAGCAATGAGATTAGGAAGTAAGGACGTATTTCACGTGATAACGATTGATTCGAACGGAAACACTTTCGGGAAGACAATCCTTTTGAAGGTCTCTCTAAGGTAGAAGAAAGATAGAAAAAAGTATTACGGTTCAATTAATAAGCTAAGAAGCATTAAACGAGACTTGAAATTATTCGAAATATCTTTATCGCATCAAAGTATAAATAATACAGTGTTTGATAATCGGACCATTGAAAGGTATTAACAAATCGATCTAATGAATAAAGTTTAAAACAGTGATTGTCCATTATACGATATAATTTAAATGTTTTGATGCAAGATGTAAGATAAATTGTTGTTCGTATTAAACGTGACATTATACGTGAAATGTACATTGGTCGTTTTTTTTAATGTAACAAACTCACCGTTGGATAATCTTCCGTTAATCCGAATTCGCCTAACCGATAATACACCGACCTATTCTCTACGAAACTTTTGAAATCGTATCGTGGCATCGTTGGAACTCTCATTTGCCAGAACGGCTCTCTGAGATTCGCTCCTAAATTCAATATGTCGCGTTGCCTATAATAGATTCGGAGCGGTAACTGAAAACAAAAAATTTTCAAATTATCTTTAACTTTATCTTCCTATTTTTTTCTTTTTCTAATTAATTTTTTCTAATTAATTCACACACACACACACACACACACACACACACAAACCTTCTCTTCCTTTGTTTGTTCTTCCTCCTTCTTGATCGTTTCCTCGGCGGGTGAATCCGGTCTTGATGAAATTGGCGTTTCATCGGGTGTTGATGATTCGGTGGTGGAGGGTATGAAACTGGAGATTCCACTTGATTCACTCGCGGTACTCGGTGAAATCGGTGGATTGCCAGACAAAATTCTCAAACCTCGTTCGTACAAAATTCTTGCCCCTATAGAGGCAAAATGTTCAGGCTCTAGACCAGATAAAGGCAAGGCTATCGATAATGCCATTATTATTCTTTCTTTTTCTTTTCGTTTCTTTTCGTTTCTTTTCTTTCCTTTTCTTTTCTTTTAAAATCTTGTTATAATTTCAAACTTTTTCGTCGATGTATATCAAATTCTCTTTAGATTTTACTTCAATTGGAACGATCGATTGCTAGAGACCGTTTACGACATTAACCGACAACTAACTGAAGATTTGATAGGCTCTTCTTCTTGTACAATAGGCAATTCTTCTTCTTGTACGTTTGTATAATATCTTCTCTATAATAATAATATACGTATACGTATATTCAAATGAGATTGTATGTGAAGGTAAACACGACCTTTCAAATTTTTGAATAGGATTAGTAACGATTATGTTACATATAATGATATGAAATAAATATTATAATTTTTTCGATTATTTAGTTTAATAAAAGTAATAAGAAAGTTTAAATTTTACATTTAATTTAAAAATGATTAATTTTTAATTTATTTATCATCACTTTAATATTTGTATTATTCTATGTTTTATGTTGCCTTATTATTTTTCGTAGAAAAAGTATTTTAAATCTTGTTCAAAGATTTATTTAATAATTTAGCAAATTATAATATCCTTAGGATGGTAAAGATGTGAACGTTTTTATCGACGAAAGGCACTGATCTTCCGTCGGTAACTGCTTGCAGTTTCAGCGTTTACCGACAATTCATTTGCCATTTGTACCGACTGTATGGAAGAATATTTCTTTATCGACAGCTGTATATATATTTATATACTGGGGATAAAAAATATATTATCTTATTTTATACAATTTAATAGAATAATATCGTAGAATTGGAGCTAAAAATGAGTTGTACAATCATCGAATTTTATTTAGAATTTTGCTCTGAAATTATTAATTTTGAATTCATCTCTTTTGTCGATAATGAAGATTTCCTTGCGCTATCCCTTCAGATTTGTGTTGCACCTATTGGCTAATAGAGGGTTGCTAATACGAAACGTTACTACTTTTATAAGTAACATTTTCTCGCTAGTGCTCGTATGAACCCTCAATTATTATATAAGGATCGTTTATAGCAAGTTTTCCCGTGGTCCGGTGCTACTCAGGAAAAAGAAGATGGACTCTTCAAATCCACAAATAAAAACCAGGTTCCTACGGATCCTTTCATCTCGTCACCTAATCTTCAAATCGACCTAAAACTTCTCACGGAGGAGAGAAAAAGGGGGGGACTCTCGTTGGAGGGGAAAAAAACGGTCTTGCGATTAAAACTTTATATATAATGTATTATACTTATATTCCGCTTGGTCCCGCTTCATCCAGTATTAATCGTTCCTGATGGGGGAAAAAGGATTGATTGAAAAAACTTTGGAAAGTTATATAATGATGCTCCCTTAACCCTTGAAGGTGCAGAAAACTGGGTTTTATCGAGAAGATGGACAAAAAACTTCTTAATGGCAAATAAATAATAAAGCAGGCCAACCTCCAAAAAAAATCCTTCATCGACTGTAGTAGTTATCACGATCGACCACTTTTTTGAATTTTTTCATCGTTTCTTTTTTTTCTTTTTTTTCTTTTTATCGAGATATTTTTTTTTATAAACCTGAGAAAGTACTTGCGTTATTTTCAACTCAACGCAAAATTATATTTCTCTTTTGTATCGACTTCTGATGCCTCACGATCGTTTTTCTCGAACACATCGTTAGATACATCAGAATCACGATGCAATAGTAAAAAATCCTATTTGTGAGAGTTAATTACGAGCTTATTTATCATCATACTTTTTTTTATCTTCTTCCATTAAATTTTCCGCTGATTGAACAATGTTCAATATGCGCAATAAGATTACGAGATGAATAAAAATATACAGATATAGCAATGAATTTGGAAAATTCAAGATATAGCAATGAAGTTGGCATCGACAATCGTCTACGACGCGGTTACTCCACATTTCGTTATCGACATATTTAACCGACGCAAATCCGAACGACGCAACAACGTATTTTATCATATTTTACGCTCTCGTAATGCAGGCCTATTTTCTCTGCGTAGCATAATGGCGCGTTTTCTTGCGAACCGGCTTGACCACGTATACCGGGTGTCCGGATTCGCGCGCGGAACTACACGACCCATCCGGTGGCCCTAGCAACGCACATGCGCCCTTCTTGGACTCTCGTCTCTTCAGTTTTCTCTCTCCGGATGGTTGGGGATTGGCCCGGAGTAACACCCCCTCATAATGGGTTCACCCGTCCGCGCTGAGCGCGGGAGACCGACCGGGAAAGAGACGGAAAGAGGGTTGAAGGGTGTCAAAAGGAGAGAAACTGGACGAGGAAGCGAGAGGAACGGAGCCAGCGTAGAGAGAGAGAGAGAGAGAGAGAAACGAAGTCTGAGCGAAGCGGGGCGAGCGAGAGGATGAAAGACAGGGAGAGGCGAGAGGGAAGAGGGCAACGGAAGCCATATTGATTTCCCTATGTTTCCCCGTATTGTTACTATAGCGCCCGGTGAGGGCGCGAGGAGAAGGCAGGTACCACCCTCGTCAACCATCCCGCGCGCCAGCCACCCCTCGACAACCACCCCCCGCGCAGCCAACTACCCTGTGTGTTCCGTTCTTCCAACCGATGGTCGTCCGATGAGAAAGAGAGACTATGGACGATGGACGTGCGTTTCCTTCCGGCCTCTCGTTTCTTTCTCTCGTTTCTTTCTTTCTCCCTTGTTCTTCTCTTTTCCACGCGTCCTGCTGTCTTCCGTTGTCCTGTTGTTCTTCCTCTTCCCTCTTCCTCTTCTTTTTTTCCCCCACCCCCGCTATATCCAGGAATTTCCAGGATTGAGAATATCGGACAGAGTACGACGCGATTCTTAAGATCGTTTCCAACGTCGAATACGGAATCGTATTGTGGAGGGTGGGAGGTTTATACAATCTCGAAAAGTCATAAACGGTTCGCGATACGACTCTGCCTGAACGATGCCTCCTCGGGTTCAGTTCATTCACGCGATGCCGTTCGTGCGTGGCTTAATATTTCCCTCTTAATGTCGAAACATCCCTAACGTTTCGCTTCTGCTAAACGTACACGGAGCACACCTGGGTGGTCCATGGCCCGATATCAGCTGCGTAACTTCCCAGACGTCCCGTTTTTCTACGCCGCGTCCTTTGCTCTCCTCCGGGAAACGAAACGGAGGAGAAAAGGGGGGCACGGAGGATAGGACGGAAAGAGAGATAGAGAGGGAAAGAAGGGATAGAGGGAGGGAGAGACGAAGATAGTGTGGTTGTTACCTAGTGATGCATGGCTCGGTAATAGCTACAATACAACCAGCTTACAAGAGGGGTTCCGTTTCCATCCCGCTCGCCGACTTGAGATTTATTGCTCCCCGGTGGATTGCGGATTCCCAGATTCTCCGGTTTGCCCTTATAAATGACTCCTATTAATTGACCGTGATGCGAGACAGGAAAACAAAGAAACGGGGAAAATGAAATGGGGGAATAATCGGGTGGAGGATGGGCTCGATATGATAATTCGATTCGACCAGAGGAAGGGGTAATCGCTCCGGCCCTCTTCCCGTTCTCGAATCTGTCGTCTCGAATCGAGGGAGATTCGAACGATCGATCGTAAAATCGTGATCAATTTTATTATTGGCTGCAACGTGGCGGGCACACGTCCGCCGTTGGACGCAACCGGGGCGACGACGTGGATTTCGTGGACACGAGTGCGGGGGCCTCTCTCCGCGTCCGTTTTCTCCGCGTCGTGGCCGTTGTTCGGGTTTAAAGTGCCAATCAAGGGATGAAAGAAAGAGGCGGAAAAGGAAGAGAGTGAGAGAGACGTACGAACCTCGTGTGCCTCGGCCACGTGTCCGATGCGCGTGAAGAATGAAACCAGACACACCCACCGTGCACGCGAACGCAGACCCCCGTGACCGTGCGCACAACCCCATAAATGCGATCTCGATGATATTAAAAGCGTGCTAATGCACTTAATAGCGAGTTGCCGTGTGTATCCTGAGAGCACGCGTGGTAAGAGCTGTCAAAACACACGCGAAAATCGCACGAGATTTGATCGACCTTGTTCCTTATTTTCCACATTTTCTCCAATTCCGTTTCCGAATCCATCGTCCATCGTCATCGTCCATCCCCACGATTTCGAATCGCTGAATCGTTATACCCCTTCCTTCTTCGAGGATATATAATATAATCGGAGAGCCAAACCCTCTGCACCCTGTGAAATACAAATTTATGGCATCTCGCGCTCGCAGGAGGAGATCGTTGTCGTCGTCCAGGCGCGAGGTGTTCCGACTCGTGAAATTTATGCAAAATCATGCGCGGCTACCGCGGTGGTGGTGGGTGGTTTCCATATGTGGATGGACCCGCGGTAACCGAGTAATAACGTAAGATTGAAGGTCGCGCGGGTAACGGGCCATCCGGCGCATTCTCATAACATGTAAAACACCGGGATTACGGGATAATAACGTGGCCAACCTTCGTGTTTGTAAAGTTTACCACGATAACCACTCCGCTCTCTAACATTCGCGTTGGAAGATCGTTCGAAGAGAGAAAGAGAGAGGGAGAGAAAGGAAGGGAATATATGTAGGCGGCCGAGATAGGCGGAAGATAATGAAACGGTATGGCGGATCGTAGGGTGTCGGTGTCCGTCCACGTAATTCCGCAGTTCCAAAGTGTCCGCTCCGGAGTGGACATTGGGGATTCCACGGTACACCCCCCGCGGCTTTAATATCGCTTTATTAACCCACTTTGCCCGCCCGACCGGATTTCTCTCGGAGATCCTCGCGACGGATCCGATCCTCCGATCAATTTCGTCGAGGGAGGAGAGAGAGAAAAAAAAAAAAAACAACAAGTTTCATCCACGAATATTTCAGTTGATTCTTCTTCACGAGAGATTCGAGAGGTCCAGGAACGTTTCGACAATCTGATCTCTGATAAAATTTTCTCGGACGATCGATGCATCTTGGAATAATCTTATCGATAATCGCGTGCGCTCTTCTTGCATCTCGATCGAAGATAGAAGATATATCGAGCGGGGA